TGCCTGCTCTGGACAGCCCTGCATGGGCTGCGAGCGCCTGCAGCAGGGAACGCCGGCCATGGGGTGGGTGAGGGGCCACTTTTCCCCACGCTCAGCACCAGTTTCTTCCCTGCTGGCGAGCAGGGGGTCGGGGCTGTGCGCGCTGCCCCTGCCTGTAATGTGGGGCTTGGGGTCACTGGGTGTGAGTGGGCGGGGAGCCATTGGGGGCACAGGGCCAGCACCGGTGCCCCGGGGCCAGTGTTGGCGGGGTCCGAGCAAGGTGGCAGGAGCACGGGGTCCCAGCTGGCAGGGGCTTTATGGAGCCAGGCCAGCTCCCCCCTCTCCCTGCTGGTGTAGCCCAGCCCAGCTCCACGGACCCCTGCCAGCCCGTGTCCCTGCTTGGGGCCCCACTGGTGCTGGCCCTGGGACATTGGTCCCAAGATGGTGACCAGCAGGTGGGGCACCTGTCAAGGGGTGGGACACCTGCCAAGGGGCGGGGCTACCCATGCGGCCCTCGACAGCCTGCCAAAACGGGGTAAGCAGTCCTCCGCCCGAAACAATTGCCCACCCCGGTCTTGGAGGGTAGAAGGCTGGGGCTATCGTCTTCTCACTGGCTTATATTCCTTCCTTGCTCTGTACAGCTGCAGTGAGAAGCAAAGAGGCTTCTTTTACAGTCACAGAAAAGATATCAGTCCCTGAAGCCTTATATACCTACCTCAGAGGGAGACTGCAGTAGGTATGAGACTTACCATATAATTAGTAAATATACAATGTGCAAAAGTTGTTGAGTATATATTACTAGTAACCTAAAGCGAAAATACTGTTATTTAGAAATTTAACACAGATTAATTAAGGTTAAATTTGAACTCTTTGAAATTCATTAATAAAATTGCAGTAGATGCTTTAAGAATTACAATGTATGAAATAGTGAGCTTTACTGTTTAGTAGTTTCATAGATGTTAAGGTCGGAAGGGACCTATTAGATAGAGTCCGACCCCCTGCCCTGGGCAGGAATGAGTGCTGGGGTCTGATGACCCCAGCCAGGTGTCTGTCTAATCTCCTTTTAAATACCTCCAAGGAGGGGGACAGCTCCACCTCCCCAGTCTATAACACTGTCAGTAATAAGGTAGATGTCTAAAAGCCACTGATAACAGATTAAACCTACTTGTTATGTGGAAAAACAATTGTGCATTAAACAGAAAATTACTTATAATCTGATGTTTTAGAAAAAAGTCAAATAATTGTTTTAACACCTGGTGATAGCCACAGGATGCCACTGTAGCTATCACCAGTTATATTTTGTTTATTATAATATTTTTATTATTTTATAATATTTTATATTTTATTAAACAAAATAAGCAGAAGTGACACATTTCAGAGGGATTTTTAAACCATATGATTAGCACATTAAAAGTTATCTCAGCTAGAAGTCTATCTTGTTAAAATATACCCGAACCCTCAACATGTCAAAACAGACAGTATACAGGAAACCCTTGCTATTTGTGGGTTCGGCATTCGCAGTTTCAAATATTCGCAAATGCTGAACCTGCATCTTAAATACACTTAAAGGAGCTCCTTAGGAGCTCTGCGCTTACCACCACCAGGGCAGCTTTTCCACTCCCCGCCAGGGGCATGGCATTCATGAACGCAGATGGCGTTCATGAATGCAGTGCCTTATTCGCAGATTTCGCCATCCATGGGGGAATAGGAGAATGTATCCCCCGTGAATGGCAAGGGTCTCCTGTACCACACAGCACAATATTTAAAAAAAAAAGAATAAAGGGGTGATGCATTTTAAAGATGCTTATTTTATTTCTTAAATATTTATTTCAAATAAATTACTGTCAGCGGAAACCATTCATATTAAAGATTATTTCTCTCATGCTGATACGATGCAAGTGTCTAAAATATTCCCTTGTAAACAGCATTTCAACAGTAATTTTCTATAACTCTGATAAAACACTGAGTTCTGTAACATATCCTATTAATTCAAAATGTTCTGAAAGTGTTTGGCTTAATTATGGCTTTTTTTTCACTTTTTCAGGGTTCGCAGAT